ATTCCAGTGTTTCCAAGTTCTCAAATCTCCCAATTCCCAAATCTCCCAAATCCCTAAATTTCCAAATTCCTCAAATCCCAAATTCTTAAATTTCCAAATTCCTCAAATCCTAAATCCCTAGATTCCCAAAATCCCTAGATTCTCAAAATCCGTAGATTCCCAAATCCCTAAATTTCCAAATTCCTGAAATTCTGAATCCCTAGATTCCGAAAATCCCTAGATTCCCAAATCTCTAAATTCCCAACTGCACAAATTGTCAAATCACTAATACACGATATCGCAATATCGAAATCCATAAATCGGCAATATATCGAGCGCCCACTGTAACCGTAGCGAATCAAAGGAGAGAGAGCGGTTTCCGAAGCCTCCCACAGCGCAGGAACGACGTCTTAAACAAGGTTTCACGCACGCTTGCATTCTGGTACGCGAAAGAAGAAGGAACTCGCACACCTTTTCGATTATTAATCGCCACGTGGCCGAGTCATCGTAATTCATCCGGCCAAACGAATCTCACGTGCCTTATACCGGAACACGGTCACGCGCGATCCAGCCGATCGATCGTTAATCGCCGTACAACAACGTGCGCCGCTTATTGACGCGGGCCCACGATCGAGAAATTATCACGCTCGAAAACGCGATGCAGCCTCGATCCACCGACCACATGGAACACGATTATTATTCCGGCCGAACCGTCGAAGCATCTTCTCTGTTTTCTTCCACCTCGCTACCGACTACAAGAATGCAAACGAACCGCATTCTACTTGGCTTGGATATTTGACAATTCAGGAATTAGAGAGCTAAGGGATTTGGGGATTTGGAGATTTGAGAGCTGGGGGATTTGGGGGTTTTGGAAATTTGGGAGATTTGGGATTTGGGATTAGGAAGATTCGGGATCTGAGAGATTTGTGATTTGAGAGTTGGGGAATTTAGGGATTTGGAGATTTGAGTGCTGAGGGATTTGGAGATTTTAGGAATTTGGGAATTTGAGAGTTCAGGGATTTGGGGATTTTGGGAATTTGGGAGATTTGGGGTTTAAAAATTGGGGGATTTGGGGATTTGGAGATTTGAGTGCTGAGGGATTTGGGGATTTTGGGAATTTGGGAGATTTGGGATTTGAGAGTTGAGGGATTTGGGGATTTTGGGAATTTGGGAGATTTGGGATTTGAAAGTTGAGGGTTTGGGGATTTGGAGAATTGAAAGCTGAGGGATTTGGGGATTTTGGGAATTTGGGAGATTTGGGATTTGAGAGTTGAGGGATTTGGGGATTTGGAGATTTGAGAGCTGAGAGATTTGTAGATCTTGGGATTTGGGAGATTTGGGATTTAGAATTTGAGGACTTTGGAAATTTAGGGATTTAAAATTTGAGGAATTTGGAAATTTAGGGGTTTGGGAATCTAGGGATGTTGAGAATCTAATTCCATAAAATTACCAAAACTGCTAAAAAGCATTTTATTTAAAAAGCTCTATCAAAACAAAAATGATAAGCTTCTACGAATCATACTATGTATCACAAATAAGTACTCGAAACAAACTACGCTTATTTAAAGCGCTTGAAAAGGGTTCGACGAAGGACATAATGTTCGCAGTAATGAGAAGATTACATAGACGTTTGATGAATGGAACTAGTTTCGCTTTAATGCAACGTTTCGCTGTTACGTTGCATTGAAATGCGCATATAATTCTCATCGCGAGTGCAACTCGCGCCTGTCATATTAGTTCCAGTTAATTTGCACGACGAGTGTGTCTCGATATGGAGTAACGGGTTCAAGCTCGAACAGTATACTGTAGCAGGAATACCAATCGCCATAGATCATTTCATGAGATTCTACTTGTTTAATATGGACGACCGTGTGGGTTTCTGCGTGTAGGATGCTGCTACTATTACAAGAGAAAGACATTAACATGCTAAATTCTCATTATTTTATTTCCGATGGTCAACAGCTTGTTCATTCTAATCCTAATTGATTCCACGATGGAGAAACCTGTGGTACTTATATGGTTCGACACCCGTTATCTGATCGTAACGATCCTTACCATTAATCAATTAATATTAAATGTATCACCATGTCTTTCTTCTATTTTATTTTCATTTCACTTTCTTTTTAAAAGTGCTTCTTACTTTATTGCTTTTTTCATTGCATTTGATTATTTATCTTTTTTCACTGCATTTCGTATTATTATGTATTTTGTATTATATTTTATTGTGATTCATTTTATTTTGTACTTTACTGTATCACACTGTAGTTCATTATGGTTAATTAAATGCAATATACCTCAAGTAAAATTGAAACATTTTACTAGTTCAGTAACTTGTTTATCAAGATTAAGTTTGTCACACGAATTTAATTAACATGATACATAATTAGTCGATGAGAAAAGGTGAGCTGACCAGACAGTTCGTGACATCCGAATGTTCAAAGCCGTCAGGATTCGTCAAGCACGTTCCACCCTGTCGCACCCCGATATTTGGAAACACGTGACTCATGCGATCGGTCCCCATACGGACACCCCTTGGATTTACGAGTGTGTCTGCGAACGTGCACCTTCTACTAATGGGTCCACAATTTTTCTTCCGTGCCGACACCCCCTTTGTACGCCCCTAAGTCTCGAATTTCTCGATCGATATCTTTGCCCATTTTCCAATTCCATCAAAAACTACAAAAATGTACAAAACATCAAAAAGTACAAAAATGTATAAAACATCAAAAACTACAAAAATGTATAAAAATATAAAAATGAATAACTTGCTCACACGATTCCTCACGTGGAATGTTATTCGACAGAATCTTCCTAATTACCATAATTGAAAATAAATTCAAGATCCATCATTTTGACGGGTCGTGTAAATCTAGCGTTAAAGTGGTCCTCTCGTTACTGCGCCGTTCCAGCAGACATCTTGTGCGCCACGGGCAGTAACCATCTTCGGTGATCTGTCATCGTGCAACGGAGGTAGCCGACTTGACGAACGAATACAAGAAGCAAGAAGAAGACACGGGGCCGACAGTCGTGGATCTTATAATAGTCGGGACCCGCGGAAAACACGTGACCGGAGCGAAATGTTATTGTAGGAGGCGGTGTTAGTTTTACCGTTTGTTAACTGCTAGCAGCCCGACACGCGCTCGCCGGCTATTTATAAAGAGCCGAGGAACCGTGGCACGGGAACGAGCCGGCTACTACGTGTGTGGCTTCGCGAACGGAGATTGACGCGTGCGAGGAAAGGATCAGGAAAACGGACGTGAGGAAGGATTCAAATCGCTGTCAAACTTTACTTTTTTTAGGTCAGATGTCTCTGAAAGGTGGATTCGTGGTTTGGTTAGAATTTCATAACTCACGAATTTTAAATACTGTAATTTTCAAGTATGACAATTTGCAATTTTTTCAATTTCTAAAGCACCCAATTTACAAGTCCCCTAATTTCCAATTTCTTCAATTTCCAAATCCCCCGAATTCCAAATTTCCCGAATTCCATATTCTTTAATTTCCAAATCCCCCAATTCCAAATCTCCCGAATTCCAAATTCTCCGAATTCCAAATCCCCCGAATTTCATATCTCCCGAATTCCAAATTCCCCGAATTCCACATTCCCCAATTTCTAAATCCTCCAAATTCCAAATCTCCCGAATTCCAAATCCCCCGAATTCCAAATCCCCCCAATTCCAATCTCCCGAATTCCAAATCCCCCGAATTCCAAATTCCCCGAATTCCACATTCCCCAATTTCCAAATCCCCCGAATTCCAAATTCCTCGAATTCCAAATCCCCCGAATTCCAAATCCCCTGAATTCCAAATCTCCCGAATTCCAAATCTCCCGATTTCCAAATTCCTCGAATTCCAAATCCCCTAATTCCCAACCTCCCCAACTTCCAAATCCCCCAATTTCCAAAACCCCAAATAACAAACCATCCAAATCTCCGAACTCCTCCAAATGCACCGGGTTCCGAAAACCTTGAATTCGGCACTGTAACCCTTCGAACACGAGACGAGTATCCCGCGGTGTTCCGAGATCTCCAGAGGAGGATCTAACCTCTTTGAACGCGTTGATTTATGCACCAGCCGACCGACTCCCGCGCCCTTTGTTCGTTAAGGTCGCAGACAACCTTTCGGCGGTCCCTTAACGATCGAACGAGCGAATCGAGATTCGGTCGGCGGGTAGTTATGCAAATATACGGCTGGTTAGATCGTTCGGAACGGTTCCCGTTATATAATGCTAGTTCGACTGGTCGTTGTCTTTTTTCCGGCGAGAAACGTCTCGTTGGGCTTAATTAGGACCACCGTAAGGGCCGTCCGAGATTGGACACGTTTTTGTTCCAGCGTACGGAGAAATAACTATATTTAGGGGGAGAAGAGGACGATGATGTGGCGAGATAGATGACAAGGGGAGATTTTGGTCTTTTTTGTCGGACGCTTTTGGTGGTTTTAGGGTGGGACGCGTGGATGTTTTGTACGAGTTTTCTGATGGAATTTCACGCGATCGTTTTATCAAACGGAGTCAAAGGCTTATCGGTATGCCCCAGTTTAGTCTTCGGAGAATCGTATTTTCCGAGAAATCGACGCGGTTACGGCTCATGGGTCGATTTCTGTTGACCCATTTGGCCAGCAAAGTGTGAGAGACACGCTAAAACGTGCATCAACGAGAATGTAATTCGCGGGGAAAGGAAATTAACGAGTCCTTTTGGCAACGTTACTCGAAAACGCCTTCACTCGATTTAGACTTCCATTTCAATATTTATGTTGCACACGTTGTAACATGTGCACTTTGCACTACATATGACGTTTATTTTGCTTCAAACTTAAAAACACACAAAAATCTTCTGACCCCAAAATTCAGTATCTTTAATAAACTCATACGAAGTTTGCCACGTTTTTCCAATCGTAAAAGAGACTTTGAAAGACCTACAGAATGATTCTTACAAACACTAACAATAAAAAAAAAAATAAAAATCTGTTTGGTAATAGAAGGATAAGAAATTGTAATAAAAATTTGGGTTCTATTGTTGCAGGCCGGAGTGATGCGATCCACGCAGGAGTAAGCGAAGCAAGCTCTACGATGGGACTCGTTCGACGGACGAAGCTGCTTCCAAGCCGAACGATGGCGTCCCTATTACCGCTGCTGCTGCTCGCAGCGTTACCGAACGCTCGATTAGAATCAGCAATCAGTCCAGTGAGTAACGTGGGCTCGGTATCGAGCGGTTCTTCGTCGTCCTCTTCGTCCGCCTCCTCTTCGTCCATGGTGGGCGTCGTGTCTAGCAGCGGCACAGGTTCCGGCAGCATAGTAGGGTCTGGCAACAGCGTGGTCGGGGGTGGCGGCAGCAGCAGCAGCAGCGTCGCCGGCAGCAGCGGTGGACACTCGTCTCTAAGCGGTGGAGCGGCTAATGGAAACGGCAGATGCGAGGAGATCACTATTCCGATGTGTCGCGGGATCGGATATAACCTGACAGCGATGCCGAACGAATTGAATCACGATACCCAGGAAGAGGCTGGCATGGAGGTGAACCAATTCTGGCCGTTGGTCGAAATCAAATGCTCGTCCGACCTCAAGTTCTTCCTGTGCTCGATGTACATACCGATATGCTTGCCGGAGTACACGAAACCGCTTCCAGCGTGCAGAAGCGTGTGCGAGAGAGCGCGGGCCGGTTGCGCGCCGCTGATGCAACAATACGGATTCTCCTGGCCGGAGAGAATGGCCTGCGAGAGATTACCCGCCCACGGTGACCTGGAAAATCTGTGCATGGAACAGGACAATCGCACCACGACGACCGGTTACGGGTCTGGTAACGGGGGCGCCGCGAGCAGCGTGCCCTTACCGGCTGCAGCGCCACCGCGTCCGACGAGG